CCCAGATTGTCCCACACCGCCAGTGGCGGCCCCCACAGCAAGCCAGTGCGGCCCTCGCGCCCACCCAACCTGCCCTCCTTGCTCCTTCCAACTCTGCTCTGGTCTCGCTGCCGAATCAAGGCCGACTCATAGGGACCCCCCGGAGGACAGGTCGCCCTGCCCCCGGCCGTGTCCCAGGGTTTACGGGAGTAGGAAGCCTCGTTCTTTGGCGCAGCTGGTGGTTGCCAGTCACTGACCTGGTGGTTACCCGCCCGACTCCTGACCCACCACGCCACCAGGGCTCCTCAGAGCCAGAGGATATTTGGCCCAGGCTCAAAGGGTGCCCTAATCCTAAGGTGTCCTTTTGGCTGTTGGCTGCCCAGTGTTTCTGGCTACCACTGGCAAAAAACCTTCTAGCAAACCACCATTCTAACTCTAGTCCAGAGTTTGTTTGGGAGGCTGTTTCTTCTAGAAGGTTCTTCCTGTGGTCTGGGTGTCACCCTGAGGTGGAGGGTCTTCAGGGTACCACTGTCCCTGCAGGCACTCTGGTTTGTGCCTTGCTGCCGGGGCGCCAGGCGAGTGAAAAGTGGGCTTGGGGCTGGACGCGCGCCTTGCCTAGAGGGGGACCCGGGAGTGGGGTGGGGGAGCTTGACACCCCGAGGTCTGTGGCCTGTGGCATCATTTGCGTGTCGGTGGGATTTCAAGGTGGCCCTGCCTTGGAGTCCGGGGGCCGGCAGCCTGTGCTCAGGCCATCTGGTTCCCCTGGAGGAGGGGTGGGCCCTCGTGCTGGGCTGCCCTGGCAGGAAGGTGCTGTGGCCGGCAGCCCCGAGGCCTGACTGTGTCATGTCTCCCTTTAGCCTGTCTCTACTTCATCTGCAAGGCCCTGGAGAGGGACTGCCGCTACAGCAAGGGGCTGGTCCTCAAGGAGAAGATCCTGCAGGAGCAGCCTTGTCTCCGCAAGGACTCCCTCCGCATGTTTCTCCGATGGTGCGGGCCCACCCTCCCCCGTGGCCTGGGGACCGGCTTCCCAGGCCGTGGGTTTGCCCTGTGCCTGGGGCCCCATCCTCTTCTCTCCAGCGCCCCATGACGGGGACCCTGTCCCCATCTACCCAGTACCCCGTGCCTGGGACCCTGTCCCGGTCTCCCCAGTGCCCTTGGCTGTCCTAATTCCTCTGTGTGCCCGTGTTCCTAGTGACATGTCCATTCACGATGCGTCTGTGAGCCCAGCGGAGACGCAGGCCATACTGGACGAGGCCCTGGGGCTGCGGAGGAAGCGGCAGGCGCTGACCGTGCGGGAGCAGGTGCCGGACCTGCAGCTGGTGCAGCCCATCCCCTTCTTCACGTGAGCTCGCCCCTGGGGAGCGGGCGGGCGGGCGGCCTTGCTCCTGTCAGTGTGGAGGACAGTGTGACACACGTGGAAGGGGCCGTGTTGATGTTCGCCATCCTGTGTGCAGGAGGGGTCCATTAGCGTGAGTCGAGGGCGGGCAGTTGTTAACCCCTAAGGTAACAAGACGGGCGGTAGAATAAGCGTTGGGCTGAGGACTGCAAGGCCAGTCGTTCAAGCTCACCAGCCGTTCCGAGAGACAGACAAGGCCATTTGACCCCGTAAAGCCGGGCAGCCTTGGAAACCCGAGGAGCCAGTTCTGCGGTGTCTGAGGTCGATGTGGAATGGGATGGAACCGACTCAGAGAGGGCAGGACTTTGGTGCCAGCCAGAGTTTCTCTCTGGGCTCACGTGTCCCACGAGGCCTGGTGATCACAGTCCTGGGCTCTGGGCTGAGCCACTGCCCCCCTGCTCCTCAGCACAGTGGGCCTAGGATGTGGAGGCTCCTGTGGACAGACCCTGGCCAAGCCCTGAGGCCAGGAGGTGCCATGGCGGGAGGCGAGTCAGTGTATGTGTGTGCCGTGACGCTGCCTCTCCCCACAGCTGGAAGTGCCTTGGTGAGAGCCTGCTCGCCACGTACAACCACCTGACCACCTGCGAGCCCCCTCAGCCCAGCCTGGGCCAGAGGATCGACCTGTCCGACTACCAGGACGACACCCCGCCCCCGGCTGCCTCGCTGGCGGCGCCCCCTGCCAGTGTGATCCCACCCAGCCCCATCAGTGCACCCCCGGCAGTGGGAACCTTGGTGGAGCCCATGTTGCCCTACACGCCCATGGCGCCTACCAGCTTCCCTCGCCACAGTCCCAGCCTGTTGGAGACCAGCCTGCCGGGGGGTGAGCAGCCTCCTGGTGTCAGTGGGGGCCTAGAGCAGCCAGCATAACCAGAGTGGGGAAGTCTGGTCCCTCCAGGGAGGGAAATCCACTGGGACTCACGGCCGCTCAGCCTGAGGGAGTGGGGCTCTGGGCCACAGTCCCTGGGCCCAGTGGCACTTTAACTTGGCGGGCTGGCAATGGTGGCATGTGGACAGTGCCTAGGGCATGGCAGTCTAGGATGGCAGAGGTGCCTGCTGTGCGCATGCAGCAGAGGGGGCCATTTGGGAGGTGAACCCACATATGGTGGTCCTGTCCCTGTGTGCGGACTTCAGTTGTCACCGTGGCCTCTGAGCCCACCGTGGGCTTCTGTGCCTCTTGGAACACAGAGGGGTGTTTGGTAGGGAGGATCCGAGCAGCCTGGTGGGTTGGGGGGGCACTGCCTGCCTCTTCAGCATCCTCCTTGGCGGCGGTGGTCTCCATGCTCAGGGAAACCTGGGACAGTGCGGAGGCCTGTCTAGCCCACACCACCATGGTATCCCATGTTACGCCTGCGCTGGGGTCCTGCCCCCAGGCACCTACCTGGACTTCAGCCTCCAGTGCCCTCAGCTGGCCAGCGGGATGTGTATACTGAGGCCCCTTTGGGTGGAGGCTCACCAGAGAGAGAGATTGAGGCCCTTGCCCCCATGTGGTGTCATTTCACCTTTTGCAGGCGATGCTTCCGGGGGCGACCGGTCCAAGAAAGGGGTGAAGCGGAAGAAGCCGGTGGAGGAGAGCGGTGAGACGGCTAAGAGGCGCTCGGCCCGTGTCCGCAACACCAAGTGCAAGAAGGAGGAGAGGGTGGACTTCCAGGAGTTGCTGGCCAAGTTCCTGCCGTCCAGGTTCGGGAGCCGGACCCCACCGCCACCTCCCGCCTCCTGGGGTATCCTTGCACACTAGGCATCAACCTGCTGGCTCAGGCCTCCGAGGGGCTTGGCTCCCTGCCTGTCTCTAGGCTCTTAGGGGAGCTCATGCTTCTGGGGACAAACTCACGCCAGCAGCTGCTGTCCTTTTCCCGTCACCAGGACGCTTTCCTCAGGTCCACTCTGGGGCGTGTCTAAGGAGCACGGCCGCAGATGGGTGGGGGCGGCAAAGGGACATGGGGAGTAGAGAGCGATCCTGGCCCCCTCTGACGCTCTAGCAAACCAAACAAATGGAAAAGCAAAAAGAAAAGGCGTGGGGGTGGGAGAAAGTGATTGCCCCAGTAGCCCCCTGTCCCAACAGTCTCTCTCGGCCCCATGGTGGGGGCTTGCAAGGGTGGGAGCCCTGCTGCTCCTCTAGTGGAAGAAGTCCTGCGTCGGCCCAGTCACCCAGGCTGCTCAGCCTTGCTGCTGCGGCTTCCTGATCCATAGGCCTCTCCCCCCTTGTTCTGTCAGCCAGTTCCATCCCTGCATGAGAGGAGCACCCCCCCACCCAGGCCTTCTCTGATCCCTCGCGCAGTGCCACCCAGAACTCTGCGGGTGCGCTGGGTACAGCACTGGGTGCGTGGCTAATGCCCAGCAGCCCTCTTGGGCAGAGTGACTACCTCGTGAGCTGGGTGCCCTCCCGAGCATGGGTGTGGGTGCAGAGCCAGGGGGCTAGGAGTCATGTCCCCCTGTGGAGCTGCTTAGGCTTGGCCCGACATGTGGAAGGCTGTTGCTTAGCGGGCCCTGCCAGCTGTCACCTTTGACTCCCTCTCTGGCCCCTACAGAACAGAGGGGTACTCCACCCACTCACCCAGGGTCCGCCTGGTTCCCAGGCAGCTTTAGTTCTGAAAGTTGTACCGCTCTCCTGACCCACCGTGTCCCACAGGCTGAGGAAACTGGACCCTGAGGAGGAGGACGGCCCTTTCAGCAGCTATGAAGTCCTGTCGGAGACCAAGCCAGAGCACTGCCCAGCCACAGGGCTACCCAGGTTGTCTGTGGACTCGGCCACCTTCATGGAGTCAGGTAGGGACCGGCAGGACTTGCCCACCACCTGGGCACCCGTTGCCCCACAGCCCTACTCCCGCAGCTTGTCTCGGGAAGGCCGTCCTGGGCTGCTGAGTGGCTGGACCTTCCTGTCCTTGGCCATGCTCCCAAAGGACCCCTGTGCCTGGCAGGTTCGCGTCTCTGTATGGCACCCATCGCACATGCTCACTGGATCGTGCTATGTGCCGTGGAGCTTGGCCTCGGGGCCGCTGTGCAAAGAGGAGGCTGCTCGGGGCTGAGGGCCGGCCAGGCCGTGGAGAAGGCAGGCCCAGCATGGCCTGGCGGAGGGGCTCAGTGTGGACTTCATGACCCGCTGTCCCCACAGAGAGGCAGGACGTGCACGAGTTTCTGCGGGGGAACCTGACCAACGGCGGCATCCTGGAGCTGATGATGCGCTACCTGAAGGCCATGGGCCACAGGTTCCTGCTGCTCTGGCCGCCCGGCCTGCCCGACGTGGTGCTCAGCATCTATCACAGCTGGAGGCGCCACAGCACCAGCCTGCCCAACCCGCTGCTGCGGGACTGCAGCGACACCCACGTCAAGGTCCGGGGCGTGAGGGGATCTGGGCTGTGTCCCCCTGTGGGCCCTGGACTAGAAGATTCTTGGTGGTCCTATGAGGGAGGGAACAGGGCCATCAGGTCTGTGACAGGAGCGGCTGGAAGTCTGGAGTGAGAGCGAGCCGCTGGGGCTTCTGGGAGGCCCTGAGCTGCGGGGCTGTTATGAGCAGCGGAGGAGGGAGGCCACTCTGGGCTGTGTCTGAGAGCTGCACACTGGCCGGTGAGCAAGCTGGTGTCAGGAGGGGGCTGGGCTGCACCCCTCCACACGGACTCCTCTCACCCAGGACTCCTGGGGCTCAGGTGAATCAGGTGGTGGGTGACCGCTTCTCCGGGAGGGGGCAGAGAAGCCCAGAAGGGAGAAGGCCTCCACAGGGGCCAGCACGTCCTCTGTGCCCAGCCTGGCCTGTGTGTCCTGGCTGCTCTGCCTGCCCCAGACCTACCTCTCTGAGGCCCTGTGGGGTGCTGGGGGAGCCAGGCTGGGTTAACACCCGTGTCCGCCTGCCTTTTTCAGCTGAGCTCTCGTGGGTCTGCTCCGGGCAGGACTGCACCAGAAAGCGTGGGGTCAAGGCTGCCTAGCGCTGGGAGGAGGCAGGGCTCTACCCCTCCCCACCCCTCACCCAGCCCAGGAGAACTGTGTTTGTTGCACAGTTAGTTTGGTCTGAGTCCTTCTGTTGGCTCCTGCCCCACAGGACATGATGCTGATGTCTCTTTCCTGCATGGAGCTCCAGCTGGACCAGTGGCTGCTGACCAAAGGCCGCAGCTCTACAGGTAAGACAGTCTGCTGGGTCCTGGGCTGGGCGCCTCAGGGCTCTTGAAGCCAGGGTGACTGGGGGCAGGGAGGGGCGTCAGTGGGTTTCTGCCCAGAGAGGAACAGCTGCTGAACCCATTGCGTGGTGTGCTTGGCTGCGTGCTCCAGAGAAGCAAAGCGTGCGACGCTGATGCGTGTGTGCATGTAGAAAGCAAGCTTTCTACTATTGTAGTCCAGCCTAGTTTCAAGTGTGGGTCAGATGTGAACCTGGAGGCTTGTCCTGAGTCACGTAGCTTTGGGGGCCAGTGACCCCACGATCGGCAGGAACACTGCAGGTGACTGAACCCAAGGTCAGCAGGTCAGGTGGCAGACTGCCGATGGCACCCAGGATTAGCAGATCAGATGGCAGACTGTTGGCTCAAGGCCGAAGAACCAGAAATTGACAAGGCCGATGCAGGATCCAGACCCAGCATAAAGCAAGCAAGCTCACCTACAACATCGTCTTGGGTAGGAAGCAGACCACACCCCTGAGGACACTTCAGGGCTGTGCCCTGAGGAAGGGGGTTGCATTCTACCCTGATCTTCTGACAGCTGATTGGCTGCTCCCGCAAATCCTGTCTGGAGGTGATAGATCGTGTGAGGTCACATCATGGGGGGTTGCTAACCCTTAACTGCAGAACCACAAAGAATCCAGCCAAGTTGACGCAAAACCTTGGTCCAAGGTGCCAGGGTTGAAGGTCCCTAGTCATTGCCCCATATGAAATTGCTGGTCTTGATGTGACCCACCTGTGTTGCAGTATAAGGTGTTACCTAAGTTCCCAGAGGCCAAGAATCGGGGTCAACACACTCCTCAGAGACTGCCTGCACAGCTGCTGTTGGGTGCCAGCACATTGGTCTGGACGCACAGCCACCTGTTGTGCGATAGAGCGAGACACCGCCAGTCCTGCGCCATCCTCAGTGGTCATGCTCAAGGCTGTGATTGCAGCCCCCATTTCACTCCATCTTGTTGGGAGCCTTGCGAGAGGTCCTTCTCCAGGGCCTGGTCTCTCCTGATGACATAGCCAAAGTACATGCGGCGAAGTCTCACCTCCATCCTTGCCCCTAAGGAGCATTCTGACTGCTTCCTCCCAGACAGCTTTGTCCTCGCAATTAGACATGCTCAGAGCTGGACACGGTTCATTAGGAAAGTAAGGTGCTAACGTGCACGGTCAGTAGTTCAAACCCGCCAGCTGCTCAAACTTTGAACTGCTCCCCGGGAGGAAGATGAGGCTGTGCGCTCCTGTCAGGTGTGAGTCTCGGAAACCCTGGACAGGATGGTTCTGAGTTGGGATTGACTCTATGACAGTGGGTTTGGGAGCAAGCTGAAACGGCTCAGGTTCAGGAAGCACGTGGCTAAGGAACAGCTGGGGGACTTGAACCACCAATCTTTGGTTAGCAGTCCAGCGCCTGACCCACAGCACCACCAGGGCCCTAGAGGGGCTCATTTTGCACATCCTCACTGGGTGGAGCGCGGGCAGATTCTCACCAGCTGACGGCCCTAGGGGACCTGGGCTGGCGGTGAGGGGCTGAAGTAGGCTGGGTGGCCGTAATGAGGTGTGGCATGCACATGGCACCGACTGGGCCCGCCCCCTCGCTTTCAGTGTCTCCCCGCAATTGCCCCGCTGGTGTGGCGAGCGGCAGGCTTGGGCCCGACTTTCCAGGGACCCACTTCCTGGGGGACCTCCTGCAGCTGTCCTTTGCCTCGTCCCAGCGGACCCTCCTGGGGGACAGCTGGCTGGAGTTTGTGGTGCGTGTGTACTGGCTGAAGGCTCGCTTCCTGGCTCTGCAGGTTGGTCTGTTTCTCCGCACGTGGATGAGGAGGGGCCCTGGTGGTGCAGAGGGTTGGTCCCAGGGTCTGCTGCCTCAGGACTGCGCCCTGGGGTCTAAGGAAGGGAAGGGGAGTGAGGGAGGATGCCCGGAGGGGGCTGAGCATATTTGTGTGTGTGGTGTGTGTGTGTCTGGGTATGCGTGAGTCAGGAAAGGTGGATGGGGTATGATCGTTATGGGGATATGTGGAGGTGGGTTGGGGTATTGTGCGTCGGGGCTGTGGATGGGTGGGTGGCATGTTTCGGGTCAGGATGGGTAGGCGGGTGTCTGAGGGCTGGGGCTGTATGGCTGTATATGCCCTGTACGTATGGGGCAGCAGCAGGGGTGCAGCACTCGTCTGGGTGCTGGGTTTGGCATGAGGGGGTGGGGATTTCAGAATCTGAGCAACCAAACCGGGCACCAAACTCCCTGATCCCCCTGCCCCAGAGGGATAGCCCCAGAGGCAGAGCGACCCCGAGGGTTTCCCAGATGGTCGGTTTTGACAGGAGCGGCTGACCTCCTCTTTCTCCTGCAGAGAGGCTAGTGGGTTCACACTGCCTCCCTGGCCATTGCCAGCTTAGTGTCCTGCCCACTGCGCCACTGGGGTGCCTTAAACGCAGCACCAGATCATCATACAGCACACTAGTCCATCCCGGCCTGGGCGGGGTCTCCCTGCATCCTAACCTCCGTCAGAGCAGAGACAGGAACTCTCCACGCCTGGTGGTGCCTGGGCCTTGGGTTCAGATGAGCTCTGCGGGCCATGTCCCTTCCCCAGTGGCTCAGGAGTCACAGGTGAAGGAGAGGCCTTCAGCTTGGGCTTGTGCCAGGGCCCCTGGTTGTGCCCTCACTTTCTTGCCGAGGACTCAGCCAACCCCCAGGGGCATTCTTGGGCAGGAGAGTAGCCTTGGGGGCCACCATCCTGTGGTGCCCTCGGCCAGTTCCTGACCAGCTCTCCTGGCCAGGGGGACATGGAGCAGGCCCTGGAGAACTACGACATCTGCACAGAGGTGCTGCAGAGCTCGGCCAGCCTCCAGGCTGCAGGGGACTCGCAGCGCAGGGACCTGGTTATCCGCCTGCCCAACCTGCACAACGACTCGGTCGTCTCCCTGGAGGAGGTAGGTGCCAGCGTGACCGATGGGCTGCTCCACCTCCGTGCCCCTGGCCTGCTGCCCTGGGCCACAAGCAGGCTCGCTGCACTGCCCTGCTGAGCGGTGGCCAGGGGCTGCCCCCTGTCTTGGCAGGTGTATCTGCCTTTCTCCATCCTGGGAGCCGTTTTTCGGCGTGCTTCTTGGATAGGCTTTCCGCATGTGGATGGGTATAATGAGAGCGCAGTGCCTGTCCCCTCCATCTGGGCCGTGGTCACATGACGGGGCTTCCCTCAGATCGATAAGAACCTGACGTCTCTGGAGCGGTGCCAGTCCCTGGAGGAGATCCAGCGGCTCTATGAGGCTGGGGACCACAAGGCTGTGGTGCGCCTGCTGCGCCCCACCCTGTGCACCGACGCCTTCGACCGGGCCAAGCACCTGGACTTCATGACATCCATCCCTGAGAGGCCAGCCCAGCTGCTGCTGTTGCAGGTATTTGCGCCCCGGGCTGGCTGGTTTACCCATTGACCCATGACAGGCACGGGCGCAGCCTCGGGCACTGGCCTGGACCAGAGAATAGCCAGTGAGAACCATCCACTCAGCAGCAGCAGGCGAAGACAGTCAGAGCCTGGGAGCTGGCACTCTGGGGAGACCCCCACCTGGCTCTGACTCTGGGGAGGCCAGTCTGGGGACATCATCCACCCATATACCTGGTCATCCATCTCTCCACCCGGACTCCCAGCTGTCCGTCAGTCCATCTGTTCATCGTGCATTTATCCGCCCACCTATCCAGCTATTCGTTCTTAAAGATGCCCCGTGAACCTGCCACCATCACCTCTAGCGCAGCCTCAGACCTCCCTTTGTCTAGCCCAGCGCTGTGCCTGCCCCGGCCCCTCCCAGCCACCCAGACCGTTTCTTTGGGACCCCGTGCTTAGCCAGTCTCACTTTTCCTGTGGCTGACGATGGTGTCTGAACCCCTTCCCAGTGCCCACGCCCAAAGCAGGCCTTTGGGCTACCTGGAGCCTGCCCTCCCAGGCGGCGGCCCTGGCACAGGCCGGCGCCACCTCACTCGGCTTTCCCTTTGTGCAGGACTCCCTGCTCCGCCTGCAGGACCGCAAGCAGTGCTTTGAGTGCTCCGACGTGGCACTGCACGAGGCTGTCCAGCAGATGGTCAATGCTGGTGACACCGCTGCCAAGGAGGAGTGGGTGGCCACGGTCACCCAGCTGCTGCTTGGCATTGAGCAGGCACTTTCAGTGGACAGCAGCGGCAGCATCCTGAAGGAGGCCTCCTCCTCCTCTTCCCCCTCAGGCCTGGCCAGGCTCACCAACAACCTCATCCAGGTGACTCCATGCACCCCACCCCCCACCCCACCCCAATGCGCACCCCACCCCCACACACACTCACATGGCTCAGATCTGCTCTTTCCCTGGAAACAGCATTACAAAGAACACCACTCCCGAGCGGGCTTGCACCCAGTGGTGCTGGGGCATTCCCTGTGGTTGCTTTTAAGTGTAGACACCTGGGGGACAGGCTGTAACTGCTCTGAGGACCTGCAGGGCTGAGACCCCTTGAGATGGCCAGCTGCTTCTCCAAGGGGCTGCAGGGGGGTGAACTGCCACCCCTTTTCGATTAGCAGCTGTGCACATAGCCATGTGCCATCTGAGCCCTTTCACAAGTGTCGCACCCAGAGCCCACCCACAGCGTGAGCTGACTGTGCCTGGTGGCCACCCTCGAGGCTAGGGTAGACCTGCTCCCCAGGCCGTCCAAGGTGGTGAATCATTATTGGAGCCTCAGCTTTTTTCCCAGGGAGCGGCCAGCGGGCTTGAAGCACCCACCTTGCTGTCAGCTGCCCCACACCCAACCCAGTGCACAACCAGGGCTTCTTTTCACAAGGGTAGGGTTGGGATTTACAGCACGTGCAGCAGGAGGAGCCGTGCCTCGGTCTGTGACACTGCCCCATAGTGCCAGGTGCCCAGTCCAGCCTGGCAGGCAGCAGGTCCCCTGCTCACGTGTCATGCCGTCCCCGCCGCAGGTCATTGACTGCAGCATGGCCGTGCAGGAGGAGCCCAAGGAGCCCCACGTGTCCTCTGTGCTGCCCTGGGTCATCCTGCACCGCATCATCTGGCAGGAGGAGGACACCTTCCGCTCTCTATGCCAGCAGCAGCAGCAGCTCCAGAGCCCGCTGGACGAAGGTGCCCAGAACAAAGGGGCTGGCAGGGGGGTGGGTCCCGGCCTGGCCGTCCCCACTGCTGGGCTCTAGCCTGGACTGAGAGGTTTGTCGAGCGCGATGGGGGTGATGGGTGCCAGCTATTGGACCAGCTTCCTCCTGCAGGAGCCCCTTCTGTGGTGGGGGAGGCATGGGTGGCTGGCTCCAGAGCCCTCGCACCTCACCCTCCTGGCCTGGCCAGAGGCTGGGAAGGTGGCATGGCATGTGTACTAACGTTAGAGACCTCCCGCCCCCCCAGTCTCCCTGCCCTGCCGCAGGAAGGGGCCAAAGGCAAGAAAGAATAGAGCCTGCCCCCAGACGGGACCAGGTGAGCTAGCGTGGTGGGTATCAGACTGCAAGACAGAGGCAGAGCTGCTGTGACTTGCCCCAGGGAACTTTCTACTAGTGGTTCAGATTCCGTAAAGCGCCCTTCCGAGTGAGGTGATGAGTGGAAGCGGTGCAGAGGGGAGCTGCAGAGGTGGGAGAACACTGCAGGTCCAACCTCGTCGTTTGTGGATCACCTGAAGCAGCTCGCCAAAAGAACGGGACTGAAGACGGACTGAGCAAACACGATTAAGAGAGCAACATGGGGGGAGAAGACCATCCGTTGACATTAGCATCTAGGAGAACACATGATTTAGTTATAGAGGGGGTACCCCCCAAAATCTGAATTTTTTTTTCAAAGCTATGTGTTGATTTTTTACAAAACAACCTTCAAAGTATTCTCCATTACACCTAATAGATTTGTCAAATCTGAGATTCCATTCTTGGAAACATTTTTCTTTTTTTTCTTGGAAACATTTTTCAAACTCCTCTGTTTGGATGGCTGATGGCACCTCCCTCGTTTTTTTCTTTCACCTCTTCTATGTCATTGTCAAATCTGTCCTTTCATGTCTCTGCATTCGTGGAAACAAGTTGCACGTAGTGAGGTCAGGTGAGTCAGGTGTGTGGGGCAAGAGAGGAATGCTATTTTTTGCCAAAAACTGGTGCAATGAGATGGCTGCATGAGCAGGTGTGTTGTCATGGTGGAAAAAACAGTCCCCATCTGCCACAAATCAGGCCTTTTTTGTTGCACACTGTTACACAACCTCTAAATAGAAAGCCTTCCAGAACCTCTAAATAGAAAGCCTGATTAACAGTCTGACCTGGTGGAATGAACTCTGTGTACTACCAGTCAACATTTTCATCCATTTGGGAAGTTGATGAATGTTCAATATGAGCTTTGTCATCAATCAACATTTCTCCTTTTTTGAAACAAGAAAACTACTCCTACACTTGAGTTTTTCCCATAGCGTTGTCTTTGTAAGCTGTGTTCAACATCACAACAGTTCTGCAGCATTTTTCCAGAGCAGGAAACAAAATTTCACAGCCACACACTGTTCTCTTAAATCAGCCATCACAAAAAATGAGGTTCAAGGGAAATGACTTTTTTGAAAAATTCACTGTGACCAGAGAACCTTCCCAGGCGACGCCACTGGGTGCACTAACTCAGCGAGTTGCTTGATCGATGCCTTGCAGGAAAAATGCATACTAAGAAAGCTGGGCTCCATCTAGCACAGTTGTGGTTTTTTGCAGGGGCTAGGGAGACAAAACAAAAATTCTAGCACACTGCCGAGACAGACTAAAGAAGAGTCAAGTATGTAGAAAACTTGGGAGAAGGAACAACAAAAAGACAACCCGATTGTAAAAAGAAGTGGCAGAGGTTGGAAATCAAAGTGCATTGCTGGTGGATCACTTCTGGCTTGTCCGTGTGTCCATGCCTAGGGATGTCGGAGACCGCCATGCTGCCGTCGTCCCTCATGCTGCTCAACACGGCCCATGAGTACCTGGGCAGGCGGTCCTGGTGCTGCAACTCGGACGGGGCCCTGCTGCGCTTCTATGTGAGTGCTCCGTCCACTGAGCGGGGGGCAGGTTGGTGGCACTGTCACCCAGTGCTAGGACCTGGCCCTCCTCTGCCACTCTGCCCAGTAGGATTGGGTTCACCAGCCAGCTCCACCCATCAAGAGGTGTGGGGTGCGGTGCCCACCCTGGTGATGGCGCAGAGTTCCACGTAGGGTGTGGCAGGTTCTTACCAGCCCTCCCCTGCCCACCCTCCTCCCCACAAAGTCCACTTCTGTCTTTTTGTCCTGTCGCTGCTGTGTGACTCTGTAGCTTCCTGGGCTGGTGGAGAATCTTTTTTGAACATAAGACATAGTCTGTTACCACTGTACAGTTTTTTTTTTTAATCATTTTATTGGGGGCTCTTAAAGCTCATCATAATCCATACGTCCATCCATTGTGTCAAGCGCATTTGTACATATGTTGCCATCATCATTTTCAAAACTTTTTTTTTCTACTGGAGCCCTTGGTTAGCAGCTCATTTTTGATAATTTATCTCCCCCCCCCCCACGTCTTATACTGACTGCTGTCTGGCACCCACTTTTCTGACTGTCCCCCTGGGAGGGGGCCATACGTTATCATCGTGATCAGCTCCCCCTTTCTCAGTCTTGTAAGGAGCCCTGTAGTGGGTTACACGTTGGGCCACTCCGCAGGCGGAAGGGGAGGCTGTTGCCGTGAAGATTGACAGCACGGGGCCTTTTACTCTGCCCGGAGGGTCTGTGCTCCGGCAGCTTTCTGTCACAGCTGTTGCTGAGATGTGTCCGCACGGCTAAGGTACAGGCACCTCTTTCACTGTCGTTGACTTCCATAGGCTCTTCCTGTGTAAGTAGACCAGGAAAGTTAGCGCTTTCTTCTGGGACCTTTCCAGCAGGTGCCAAGTGATGTTGGCACGCCCACATCGAGTGCTGACCCACCTGGCTGTTGCCCCGCCCCTCCCGGTTCCTGTGAAGCAAATCCCACACCTACGCTCCTTCATCTGTAAATATTTGTCGCTATGGTTTTAAAAACCCACTCGCCTAATGATGGCCTACGGGTCACTTATCCAGCTCTGGTGGTGGGCAGGGATTGTGGCCGACCGTCTTCAGGAGCCACCTCACTGAGGCTTGCCCTCATGGGTCTCCCTTGTCATCCCTGTTAAAGCCAGTTCACGGCGCCCTCGGGCACCACAGGCCCGGGCACCGCTGTGTCGGTGTCCGCTATTGCAGTGGTCACATCCGCCCAGCTCATGGCAGGGACCCCTGGATCGTGCAGACCTCCCGCATTGCAAAACAGGATGTCCTCTTCCAAGGGCTGGTCTCCCAATCATGTGTCCAAAGTGAGCGAGCCAAAGCCTCTCCGGACTCCTGAGCAGGAGCACCCCCTTGTGCTCCTTCCACCTTATCTGGGGTGAAAGGAGTCCGAGGTGTTCATTTCAGAGCAGCCCTGTGCGCTCAGCAGTTGAAACCACTCATCCAGCCCTGCTCCCATCTCCCACTCACCCAAGTCAGCACCTGTCAACCCTCACGTCGTTGCTCCCTCTGCCCTCCCTCCCTCTTCCCTTTGCTCTGTCAGCCTCTGTCCTAGCGTTCACCCATCCATATGGAAGTGGTCTCGACAGCAATTGTCTTACTGGCTCCACTCACTGCACTCAGCACAGTGATCTCCAGGTCCGTCCATAGCCCCCGAGGTGCTCCACGGCCTCGTCACTGTTTCTAAGGGGTGCAGTCTTCCACTGCAGGTATGGGCCAGTTTCTTCAGCTGGCCTTTTACGGATGGGCTCTTGAACTGTTTTCCCGACATGGGAGTCTGTCTGTAGGCATGTCTGTCCTTGTGATATCTCTTACTTCTTTAGGGCATCCACCCAGCCAAGCGTCTGGGATTTCTCATCCCCGTTGTTTGGGCTGGTGGCAGCGGCACATGCATTTCCTGTAGGCCAGGCTGTGTGTGCTCTGGGCACCCTGCTGTCGGCTGTATTCTTTGCCAGCTTCACTCAGTGACTGCGCCGTGAGTCCGTCTCCCCGAGGCTTTTCCAAGGTAGTCCTCTCACTACCAGCTCTTGGGCTGTTGACTGCCTGCTGTCCCTCCCCTTCGTTGCCGCCTTGACGGCCGATGGTTTCCCTTTCTCTGCCTGCTTTGACTGCAATGTGCCGTCATCCTGCAGGGTGGTTCATGCCCCAGTCCTGCCGCAGTTCATCTCAACCTGGGCGCCTTAGAGAGCGCTGAGCCTTTTCAGATGGGCTGCTGCCTCCGTGTTTCCGTGGAATTCGTGTCCAGTTGCACTGATTCACGGGGTGGCTTCGGGCTGGTGGAAAATGGACTGAAAGGATGATGAAGTTTTCCCTCCAGCTTTGTGGCGCCCCTCGTATGTACAAATGCTCTGAAGTTGAGGGTGTGACCTGTGTCGCCCTGCGTCTCTGGATCTGCTGAATTGGCCTTTGTCTCGTTTTTCTACAAGTCCCAGGGCTTCTGGAAGGGACCGTGCACTTGCTCACGGCTGGGTGTGGTCGGCCACTGGGCCTCGTCCCTGTCGCTCCAACGTGATCACTGTGTGGCCCTTTCTCACGGTCGGGCTCCCGGGCTCCCATGGCCCTGATGCCACTGCTCAGGCCTCACGGCTCAGCGCACTTGCTGGTGGCCCTCACTGGGAGCTCACCTGAGCTCCGTCAGCACGGGCGCTGGGCCAAGCCTTACTCCACCGACAGCAGGGAGTGGGCGGGAGGCTAGCAGGTGAGCTCAGGGGTCTTGAGAGTGCCGCCCTCCCTCTCCTGTGAGCCCGTCCCTTTCCTGCCCCGGGTGTGGGGAGAAGGAAGCTGCACAGGGCCCTGACAGACACAACCACCGCCTCTCTTTGGAAGTGCCCTCCCTGCTCCACCCCTCCTCAGGCCTGGCCTCTGCCCACCAGGTGAGGGTTCTCCAGAAGGAGCTTGCAGCATCCACCTCGGAAGACACGCACCCCTACAAGGAGGAGCTGGAGACGGCCCTGGAGCAGTGCTTCTACTGCCTGTACAGCTTCCCCAGCAAGAAGGGCAAGGCCCGCTACCTGGAGGAGCACTCAGCCCAGCAGGTGAGGGCACAGCCCACGTTCACTGCACTCACTGGGCGCCTCTGATACTTGCTCCCTCGGGATGGGGGGGAGGGCTTTAGTTGGAAAAATCAAGCCAGTGGGTGAGCAGTAACACTGGGAGGTGGTGGTCCTGGCGGGAGCCCACCATAGGGGTGGGTGGGGAGCACTGGCCCCAGGGCAGAGGGCAGAGTCAGGAAGGGAGGAGCGGAAACAGGAAACACGGGGAGGGAGAAGGGACGGCAGTGATGATCAGCCGGATGGGGGATGCACGTGTTGGGTGGGAAACTCACCTCCGCCAGCTGCTCCCCATCTCCATGGAAAGCTAAACGAACAAGCAGAGCGGAGGGACAGATGGACCGAAGCCGTGCACACCATCTGGTGGCCCCTTGGTCAGAAGGCAGCTCAGTGCCATTTCCCTGTTTGCCCCAAACTGTGCATGATAGGAACAGCCCTTTTTCCTAATTTAAGAGAACAAATGTTTTTCCCCGACATTCTTGGTGGTTTGAGTTCTTAAGGCAGGTCTGGGGTATTGGGGTCCCATGGTAGAGCCCTCACCCCCTTATGGAAGACCCTCATTGGACCTACAGCCACTGCCCTTCACGTGCAGCCCCCCCGCCCAGTGGCAGCATGCCAGGGAGGATGTGGGTAGGGAACTGCTGCATTTGGAGATGAAGGAAACAAGGAAGAAAGGCCTGGTGATCTCCTTTAAGAAATCAACAGTGCCATGTTCAATCCACCACCAGCCTTGGGCTGGCGCAGGGCTGGGCAGCACTCTGTGCTGGGGAGCAGGCACTGGCTCGATGGCCGCTCTCAGCACCAGCATTGTTGAGCATGTTGTTATCTGGTGGCTGCCGATTAGCCAGCTTTCAGGATCCCATCCCTAAAATGCCTGCTCCTTGAGGCCTCCCCTGCACACCCATGCCCCACAGGCTGGTGTGGAAGTGGGCCACGCCCTGTGCTGGTCTCCGGCGGCTGCCTGACGGGGCCACACGATCTTCCTGAGGGTTGTCTCTGCCTCTCCTCCAGGTGGATCTGATCTGGGAGGACGCCCAATTCATGTTCGAGTACTTCAAGCCCAAGACGCTGCCGGAGTTTGACAGCTACAAGACCAGCACGGTGTCCGCCGACCTGGCCAATCTGCTGAAGCGCATCGCCAGCATCGTGCCCCGCTCCAGGAGGCCAGCGCTGAGTCTGCACAGAGTGTCCGCCTACATAGAGGGCACATTGGCTGAGGTGGGTATTCAGCGGTGCCGGCAGCAGGCTCCTGGCCCCTGTCACACCTGCCACGCTGATGCCCCATGTTGCCGTCTTCCCCCCACTCTAGGTGCCCTGCCTCCCCGACGGGGCCGACCCCTCCCCAGAGGTGGTGAACGAACTCTACTACCTCCTGGCTGATTACCACTTCAAGAACAAGGAGCAGTCCAAGGCCATCAAGTTCTACATGCTGGACATCTGCATCTGCCCAGACAGGTCCGGCCTGGGTGCTGGGGGCTGCGGAGGGGCTGAGCGAGCAGGGTCTGTAGGCCCCATTGCTGGTCCCTGGAGCCTGGTACCCTACTGCATTCAGGGTCGGGCTGTTACCTAGAGTAGGGCAGAAGTTCACACCCACTGACGCAGTCTCAGAAACCCTAGGGAGCAGTGTGACTGTCAGACAGGGGCGCTAGAGCTTCGTCTCCACGGCCGCGGGTTTATCTCTTGTCCCGTCTCTGCCCTGTTAAAGCCTGACTAAAGGGGTCTCTATAGAATGGGTATGTATCTGGGGTCTTTTCCACACTGGAGCGCCAAGAGAGGCGAGTTCTCCACAAAATATAGAGCACTGACTTTGCCGAAGACCCTGGGCAGGCGCTGGGTCAGAGGAGGTGTGAGGGCCCGTCTGGGTGGGTCCTGGTCAGAGGTAGCAGGGGTGGCCCATCTGGGTAGTCCTGATGTGTGGAACTGGGAGTTTGGGGCCGCTCCATTCAAGACACCTCCGTCCGAAAGGAAAGCAGGAGTGGGTCAGGCCTGAGTCCATTGTTGGGACGCAGCGGGCCTTGCAGCCAGCTCTGGGTGCTCCGAGAGGGGGTCTTGAGAGGGGGTGGGCTGCCTGGCAGCCTCACGCCGTCACACTGACTCTCCCTGACCATGGTCAGAAAAAAAGGCAAGAGTGACTGGTCCAGGCAGGGCTCAGAGCCAGCCACTGGCTGTCTGGGCCACACCCTTGCTCCATGCCAGCCCTCTGCCACCCCTAGGTTTGACTCCTGGGCAGGCATGGCCCTGGCACGGGCCAGCCGCATTCAGGACAAGCTCAACTCCAATGAGCTGAGGAGCGACGGGCCCGTCTGGAAGCACGCCACCCCCGTGCTGAGCTGCTTCCGCCGCGCCCTGGAGATCGACAGCTCCAACCTGTCCCTGTGGATCGAGTACGGCACCGTGTCCTACGCCTTGCACTCCTTCGCGTCGCGCCAGCTCAAACAGTGGAGGGCCGAGCTGCCCCCCGAGGTTGTGCAGCAGGTGAGCGGGGTGGCAGGACTCGGGCCTGGGGAAGGCCCCCTCATAGGCTGGTGCAGGCCTCGCGGCAGCTTCCGTTCCAGACCAGCCGACAGGTGCGGGGAGGCTGCCCCTCCAGTGAGCTGGGGGAAACCTCGTCATGCTCTCCACAGGGGGCGGAGTGGGGCAGTCCTCAGCTGTGTCTGTGTTGGCAGTGTGTGCCCCAGGTAGTGCCCAGCAGGGAGCCCTGGCTCCTGGAGGGGGGCCTGCAGAAGCCAGGTGGACATGTTTCAGTCATGTTCCATCAAGTGGCCCCCCCAGACAAGCTCTTCGGCTGATGTCTATGCCCAGGAGCCAGTGGGAGGCTGCCAACATTCCCAGGCTTGTTGGCTGAATTAAGTAGAAATACCCGAGGGCAAGCACTCAGACCGCCGCTGTCCTGCCCCTCGGACTGCACGCATCTCTGAGTGGCCTCTGGTTGTCATAGAGTCAGGCTCTGGCCCCTTCGACCACCCTGGCCTCTGTCATGGACTCAGATCTTTGACCCTACAGAGAAGGATGCAAGCCCCCCAAGCCCTGGGTGCCTTCTTTGGCCCCGAGGCATCTTCCTGGTGAATACCTCAGTATTGGGAAGCCCCAGCCCTGCTCCCATCACATCCTCTGATCACAAGAGTGATGTACATGTGGTGTCAAATCCTGACGAGGGGCAGAGCGGCGAGGCCGCGGCAGCCACTGTCTGTCTGGAGGGCTGCTGTTGAGGGTGTTAGCACTGGAAAAGGGCCCGGTGGCTCCACTGAGGTGGGCGCACGGTGGCTGCGGCATGAATTAGCCAGCGGTGATGGCTATGTGCCTGCATCTCGTTAGGGCACGGGGAGTGTGGGCTCCTTCCCAAACAGAATGATGGCGCTTGGTTGGCTTGTGGGACTTGATTTCCAACTTGCAGGATTGAAGGGTTCTGCGGGCACAATAACTGAACGATGTGGGAAGCATCAAAAGAAGATAGAAGGAATACGGAGTCACTGCACCAACCAGAACCAGTCAGCGTGTAGTCGTCTCAGGCGGTTGCGTAAGTTCCAGGACCAATGATAGTGCAAGAAGAATTCCAAACTGCGCTGAAGGCATTTGCCAAAAACAAGGCTCCAGGAATTGACAGACTACCAATTCCAGTGCTTCCAGAAAACAGGGGCAGCACTGCAGACGCCGCTCACTTGTCTATGCCAAGCAAGTTGGAAGATAGCTTCCTGGCCAACTGACCAGACCACTGCTGTGCCCATTCCAAAGAAAGAAAGTCCAACAGACTGTGGACATGATCGGATACCACAGTTACCTAATAGCACACACAAGTAAGATTTTGCTGAAGATAGTTCCGAAACCTGGAGCTGTCTGTCAACGGGGCTCAAGGCGGACTCAGAAGAGGACCTGGCACAAGGGAGATGATGGCTGACATGGTGCGGCTGGTGCCTGGGAGCAGAGGGTTCCAGAAAGACGTGTGTCGCACTTGATTGACCAGCTGACATGATGCGGCTGGTGCCTGGGAGCAGAGGGTTCCAGAAAGACGTGTGTCCGCACTTGATTGACCAGCTGACAT